CACAAGCGCGCAGAACAGATGAATGTGCTTTCGGTATTCTATCCAAGAAATGGGAGGTATTGCAAAGACCCATCGAAACATCCGTTGAGTTGGCGGTGTCAATTGTGAAATGCACTTGTGTGCTTCACAATTTTGTTCAGATGGAATCAGACAATCTCCCATGTGAGAAAGATGATGACGAAATTCATCATATTGCTGCTGCGACGAGAGGGAAGCCTATTCGTCACTCGAATCGAGCTGGTAGGGCAGCTCTAGCTATCAGAGACCATTTCAAAGATTACTTTGAGGCAAAAACTGGGGAACACTCCTGCTAATACAACATCTGATCTGATCGGAAGTTAGGAAAAAAATAGACTTATTTCTGCAGTAGGATGATATTTACTTCATTGAAATAATACACACTCACCTGGATCTCCCATTTCTGTTTCTATTTCGTCCATCTCCTTCCAATCAAGTCCCTGTTTGCATGATGTGGGTGGGCAGGGTCGTAGATCTCAGGCCTTTCGCGAACCAAAGATATCAGTACTTCCACTTGGGAACTCATTTCACGCATGCCTTCAAGTCCCACACCACAACAGAGACTGATAAAGACTGATGGAAAAATAGAGCCTGTGCCTATTGCGTCTTGACTAAACGTGACTGACGAGGACTAGACTAGACTTGACTGATTCGGTGTGAAGGCGGTATCAGTCATTCCATGTTGAGCTATGGGGTTCTAAACGTTTTGACCTGACTAATCGTGACTAGACTTGACTAGACTAGACCAAAGACCTTATACTAAGAAGACTTTTGACTGATGCGGTGTGAAGTGGATATCAGAAAGAGCATGTTTAGCAATGGAGCTGTAAAAGTTTTGACTAGACTAAAGATGACTTGACTAGACTAGACTGAAGAAGAATGATTGGTGTGCATGCACACTACGACTCGCCCAGCTTGACTGGACTAGACTAGACTAGACTGATTCGGTGTGAAGGCGGTATCAGTCATTCCATGTTGAGCTATGGGGTTCTAAACGTTTTGACTTGACTACTCGTGACTAGACTTGACTAGACTAGACTAGACTGATCCGGTGTGCAGGCACCCTAACACGATCCATAGGTCATCTTGCGCCGGGCCAGGTCCATGAGTATCAGGAAAATCAGAATTTGTTTCTAGCCCGTGGTTTACTTCGGCATGTCATGCCGATGCAGCATGATAATCTGTCATCAGGTATGGATGGATGCATATGTAGGCATCAGATGATCAATGGACAAAGAATACAAAAGGATCAATACCTGAATGGATGTTAGTGTGCAGTGTAAAGACTTCCAGCACTCGCTCCCAACCCGCTCAGGGGTTCAACACATGTCCCGCGTCTTTACGACAGTCCTCAACTGTACTCGCGATGCCACACGCACTCGGCTCTCGTCCCGACAACTGGGCTGTTGCTGCTCTCCACACCCCTGATCTCTGAGCGCGTGGGGCTTATATTACATCATATCGAGCATGCGTATTGGCATGTACGGCGATTTAAACCTTCTCATGTAAGAGTACCTCCTACACTTAGGTACGGCGTCATTCCTGGAAGGATGCATCAGGAGGACGTGCAGAGATGAGAGCGAGGGAGGTGGTGCTCTTCTCAATTTATCCTTGCGACCGTCGTACGCCGAGCTATGGGAGGAGAAAACGATAGAATTTTGATGAGGTCCGAGGCGGGATACCTATGTCAAAATGAGCGAGAGTTTTTGAAAGAAAGTCGAAAATCGCGGGATGGAAGCCCTCGCCCTAAGCAGAGCGTTTCATATGGACGGACACTTGCCGATTAATATATAACTAATCGAAGACAGTTGTTCCAATTTTACCCCTCAACCTACTGACGGAGTAATGGGCTTCTCGTGCTTTTTTAGTGGAACGGACATTCCTGATGTGATTGCGTCGCATGCGCAGGATCTCAATTCTCTCCAGCAGGGCTAGTCGGAACCCGCTCAGAGGCATAAGCGGGCTTGGTCGGTCGGATCTCCCCGACACGGTTCGCAAGTCCTACTCACGTAGTATCGGGTTTAGCCATAGAGAGTGTATAATGGAGGGGCCTCCCCTATGGCGCGAGGTGCTGCACCCTTCCAGGCGCGGCCCTCATTCACTGAAGTCGCACGAGCAAGGTTTTTCATAGCAGACACATGGAGAAGGGGAGAGCAAAAGAGGCAACTTGCCACGGGCGATATGCCTGGGGATATCCACGCCGGGACCCAACCAATCACGCTATTCATTCCCACGTGCGAGACTTCACCAAGATGGCGGAAGTACTTGTTAGTCTCGAGGTAGCGAACGCCTCTCCAGACACATACTATAGACACAGACTATATACACTCTATGGGTTTCGCTATGTTGGGGGGTTTCGGGTCGGGCCCAGGCCGGGATTAGATTCGAGCCCGTCTTGTAGAGTGAGGAAAAGTCGACCCGTGCAGGACAGACAGAGAGACAAACCTCGGCTACTCTACGCAGAGCGTTTCAGACAGACGGACACTTGCCGATTAATGCATAAGATTATAGATAACACAAATAATAAATGCATCTTCATTTACCTTTTTCTGCCTCGCCCTGTAGCATGCGCTAGGGTAGCCTGAAGGGACACATGTGAACTTGTCACCCTGAAGCAATCCAGCCGTGAGCATGAAAGCATTTACTGCTTATATAGGGTGGCCCAAAAGTCCTGTCTCGTAGGAAATTCATAATCACTTCTGTTATTTTGCAGGTTGCAGCCCATAATGGCTGAAGAGGAAAGTTAAACGCCTCAGGATAAGGCAGCAGTTGTACTCCTGCATGCATCTGGCCTCAGACAAACAAAGTTGAAGAATTCCATCGATGCCTGTTGTACAGGTTTCGGCTTCTCTGGGTGGCGTCGATCCACGAATCACGAGAGAGACTGTCACACGTGTGCGTGAGAGTATTCGCCACCGTTTCCATTTCTGCGAAACAGTCTAAGGCAACCAGTTTGAACATTTGATACAGTGAAAGAGATTCCTTTGAGACGGAACCATTGCACCACCCTGGATATGCAAAAATGCATGTTTGAATGGACACATTCACTATAGCTAATTGCGGCTTCTCGTCTGAGGACTTCCAACCTACCCAACAACTCTTCCTCCTACTCAACATTGAACGTAGACTAGGATTGAGAGCAGGCGAGTTCAGTTGAATCAATCTGTCGAGTCGAAAGAAGTGACTTCATAACGGAGCACGTCAGAACGGAAGGACGACTTGGGCCAGATGCGCGATAGTCGGCATATCAGACATACAGTAGGTGGCCGCGGAGCCCCCGGGCCCCGTCTTCATTATTCGCGACCGAAACTGTCGACCACCTGGAGGGGAAGATTCAGGCGCAGTCTCGGTTGTCGTTATTGGAGCTGGCTACCGGTTGGTACTAGTGCAAAGGGTCGTCCTGTCGGTCCAGGTGAAGTTGCCGTCAGTGCCGTACCCCTGCTGTCGAATGTATTCGATCCAGAATTCCATCAATTGTCTTATGGTGTTCTGAGAAAAGTCTGCAATAATGGAGAGAAAAAAAAACAGAGAGGCCGCATTAAAATTGCACTCTTCAAAAATCCCCCCGAGAAAATCAAACAGGACAAAGGTTTAACACGCCCTTACATCATGCGATGCCTCCACACGTAGAAAATTGATGCCCCATGGCTGGCTTGATTTGCTCGACTTGGCATGCTTTTGGGTGATTATTGTGACGGGTGAAGGGTGAAGTTTGAAAATTACAGAAGCATATCAAGCTTTTACAGATGATTCTCAGGCCTTCCTGCAATGTCGCTAACCCCCCCCCCCCCAAAGGATTCGTTATGACTGGGATGATGGAAACAGGGAGAGCAAGCGGGCCAGCCAATGAGCTGAGGGAGAGCAGAACGGCTCCGACCGTCGACTTTCTGGCCTGTCTCGAAGCTTCCGTTACCTCTTTAGTCTGGCGTTTGTGAGCACAAGCCTGTTTCGATTCCATTCGTGATACATTCGTGATGCCACAACTGGGAGAGAGAGATGTGAAGAGGAACTCGCTCATTAATGCAAGACCGAAAAAAATTTCGGTTTGTCAGCTCGTCAGGTTAAGGTCGTCCCTTCTCATGTACTTTTGCACCAACAGACAATGGAGTCAGGTCTCTCACGAGTTGCGTTTGCTAAATTTTTGGATGAACTAAGTGGGCGCATTCAGTTGTGACCCGGGCAGTGCGCCCAGTGCCATCATAGGACCGGGCAAAAAGTTCGTTTTCGTGTTGGACAATGCTCAGGTGCACAAAAGGGTTATTCCTCAATACCCAACCAACTTCATTCAATTCCTCCCCCCCCCCCTCTTCCCTAAAGTCCTTGGTTAAATCCCATCGAATTCACGTTTTCTAGGTCTGGGGTTTGTAGTCGGTGCGAATGACTCCCGTTGCGTCCTGGAAAATCGTCGCCGTGATTTTGGTTCTAGTCTTCGGACAGGGTTCATGTCTGTAAACAGAAGCTCCCTGAATCTGCGTTGAATCTGTCAAAATTCTGCTGACTCATCGCGAACGAGTCTCTCTCTCCCCCTCTCTCTCTCTCTCTCAAGCTGATGCCTTTCTGATCACACAATGGTCATAAGGTCCACCTTATCACTGGGGGTATCGCGAACTTTAGCGCCGAATGGCTTGTCGTTGTTGCAGAGAGCCACTCTGCCGAGTGGAGAGAAACCACTTCTGCGGAAAACTAGCTGGAAAATATTTGTCGTCACATGCCTCACGGGGAAGTTTTAAGCAAAGCGCTGCATATTAAGTAAAGCTGTCGATATTAAGGAAATCGAAGGGACATGAGACTCTCCTTCAGTACTGCCTTTTCAAATGAACACGTTCGCCAAAAAAATCTATTTTTAGTATTAGAGACTCTCTAATGAAGAAATTATGTCTAGAACCAAGAAATAATTTGAAATAGAGTTCAAGCGCTGCACATCCTATCGTTATCGTGCAATTTAGTATTGGAGGGAAGGATTGGAAGTGCGATATGGTATGGACGAGAAGATATGGTTTATTAAAGAGCCCGAAAAAAAATTCAGGATTGGAGGGTCTGGAGGAACGACAGGAAGAAGTCTCGAGCGGCTCCGATGAGAGATGCGGACCCTGCGTACTGTGCTGCGCCTACAGACTTGCGACAGACGTAGCCCCGCTCTTGCTTCCCTACAACTGCATCGAACGCTGAAACGGTGCTCCACCTGGAGGGGAAGATGTAGGCGCAGTTGACCTTGTTCTTGTTGGTGCTGTCCGTTGGGTAGCCGGGGTACCAGTTCTCGACTGCCCTCGTCGTCCCGTCCAACCAGCTGAAGGACGCTGAATTGGAGTTGTCATCATCTCCGCGACGGTAGCCGATCCAGAACTGATTGTTGGTGAAATTTTCTGGTGAGGTGACAGAAAGATCTAGAAGGAATTTTTAAAAAACGAACGAACGGTTTGAAATGGCATTTTCTCGAAGTTCCATATATTAAAAAATGTAACCAACCTTTGAAAGCTTTATCGATATCTTGACGGTAGACTTCATTGTTGAAGACCACCAACTGGCCTCCATCGCTCTTACACCTGTCGTTGGCCTGATTGAAAGTGGCTGTTGACTCGTAATAGATCTTGAAGCATTTTGTCGTGTCGCCGAGTAAGCTGGGGGAGTAGGATGAAGGTGTGCAGGTCAAGCCCACGCGCGCCTTTGACTCACAGATGTAAGACCTCTTTCCGTCGCAGTTCCCGTTCTTCCACTGACTGGGGTACATGTAGGTGTAATCTGGAGACAATCGAAACAGAGCAGATGATTCACCTACTGTAGGACTTGAGCGGAATAAACCGCTTCGTGGTCGGCCTTGCGTGAGCCTCTGTTAAGTCGGTCATGACTGTGAATTTAATTTTCAAAGTCTATATTTTGCTTTTTCTAAGCAAGTTATACATATGTGCAACATTTTTTTTTTTAGTGCTGCTTTCATCTGAAGGGAATTGGCAAAAGGCAGCTTAGCGTTTTCTCTGTCCCCTGTAGAACCCTTCATAAAAACGTTCCTTCCTTTTCCTAATACAGCGATTTCAAAAAGTTACTGTGATTTGTTAAATGAATCAAGAATGTGCTGAACATGCGCTCTTCATGCATATGAACACTACAGACGGCGAAAAGTTCTGAACGTAAGTGTTTTTGCCTCTTGACTGATTCTGTCACTCTTCCACGTCTTCCACTTGCCACTCTGCCACGTCTGACTTTTTACTTATGATTACTCATGGGTTGCGCTCGTTCGCAAGATGCCCCTCAGATCTTATATGTCAAATTGGTCACAATGGCCGGAATTGAAGGGAATTTTTTTATATGTGGGCGCATTGCTGCACATTAATTTTATCACCCATCGTATCCCACCAGGTAATAAATCACTTATCTTTCAGAGTAAAAAAGGGACGAAAAATGAACTAGAGAGTACCAGCCTATCTACAGATCTGGCATTCCACGGGCCCCTGTACCCACTGGATTTCTAATATATATATAGACGATCGTGACTGACTGACGCTAATTCTAACCACGTTCTAGAGAAGTTAGAAATCTGAAACTTGGTACACAAGTAGCTATTGGGATGCAAAGTTCAGAAAAAAATCCAATTTTGGAGGTACATGCCCTGGGGGACATTTCAGGGGGGACTGATTTTGCAAGCCCAGGTTCAGCCCCCCCCCCCCCGACCGAGGTTTAGGCCTACGCCATTCTCTTGCACAGGTTCTTTCCTCTGTCATTGAAGGGAGTTTATGTAACTGCTAGGTTGTTCACTCAGGAGGAATTCCAACTTCGAGAGGGGGGTGGGGTTACATGCCCTGGGAGCAATTTTAAAGGGGAGCTGATTTCACAGGTCTAGGCCTAACCCATGGATGGACGCTTAGGCCAATACCATTCTCATGGACTCTCTTCTTCAAAGGAAGCGGAATGGGAAAACAAGCAGCTGTTGGCTTGCAAAGTACAGATATTAGTTCGGCATAGAGGTACGTGCCCTGAAGGGACTGAATCAGCAGGCCCATATCTAACCTTTGGACGGACGCTCAGGCTTACATCGATCTCGACTCAATGGCATCGAGGAATTTTCGGCCTATCTGAACGGAAAACTTGCTGCCTTAGCATGCTGTGCGTGGTCTTTGCCCTATGCCTTTCTAAGACATAGGCTAGGTAGAAGGACTTGGGTTGATGCGTACCGGTATGCTTGTGTATGCGAACTGATTTCATATATTTTGTATCAGGGAAACGGCAAGGAAGATTTCCCCTCAACTTTCCGATTTAGAGTGGTTATGTCCAATGCAGGACGCTTAGACCGATGCCATTTCTAAGCTCATATTTCAACTAAGCAGGAACGTAAATAGCCATAAACTGCCTTCATGAATGACGTATTTTCTCATGTACAATTGTGTGTAGCATTAGGTAGAGTTAGAAAAAGGGATTCCATAAATCTACTTGTGCATAAGTATAGATATGAATATAATGAAAGAACTCCCCATTCTGTGAATGTAGTCTATAAAGAGTTATTGCGTTGAAACTCAAGTGGCTTATGTGGTTCATGTGGCTGCTATTACTCACTTATACTTTTTTGGAGATCGATATGCAATCAAGATTGTGTCGACCATAGGCAGGAATTGAATTCACCAATGGAACAGTAAACGACGCACTGACAAATGTTACTTGGTGATCCTCATGCTACAAGTCACATGGCATTACTAAGAATACGTTCTAAGACACCTTTTTTTAAGGTGTCAGAGCCAAAGGTGTGGGAATTGAACCCATGAGCAAAGGAGTTTGACCGCATTACTAGGGGTGAGCATAAAAAATGATGCCTTACACTGAAATACAAAAGTAATTTCCTTCGGTCACAGAGCGCCAAAGGCGCATCAGTTTGTTTGCCCATCGGGCAAACAAACTCGCCAATAATATATATTCACCGCATTCTAACTATCCAACCCTTAAAAAATAGCTGTAATTGGTTCGGCGTAGGCCTATATGAAAAGGCCTGGACAACTAGACATGTTCTCGATGGCCCGAGCGTCCGCGTCGCGTGGGAACGGGAGGACAGTATAAAGTGTAGGATGTCAGATACGGTTTTTCACGCGTACGCCTAGCAACCCTGTCTACGCGGCCGGGAGCAGCCGCTCTCCCCCTCTGTATACTATGGCTTCGTCTGCCGCTAGGACCGGAAAGGAAGAGGATGTTTTCGTGGAAGACGCGGAAAGCTACGCGAGCGCATTGGGTTGTGTTGTCCGGTCGCTATGGTTACTGCGGAATGAAGAAAAAAGAAAAAGGAAGTGACTGACCGACCGCAATGTCTGGCATTTCCCCATAGTAGCTCTAGGAATGCCAGATAACAAAAGAGGGGAAAACTGAGTTAGCACTCGCCTCTTTCTAAGAGTGCACACGCAAACAACTCACCATCACCAACGTTTCCTGTCGTCGAGTCATAGTTTGCATACTGGCCGTACTCCTGCCGGGGGTTGCTGATGGGTCTCACGGCCGCCAACCACGTCGACGGGTACTTCACATTGCTCCCGATGAAGTCGTTCTCAGACGACGACCGGGGAACGGCGAAGAAAGCGCCGCCCAGGCTGTCGCAGTAGAACGGTGCCTGGGTGTAGGTGGTCTTGGTCCCCTGGAAGTAGTAGCAATCTCCGCCGTTCTTGAGCCAGCCGGAAGGACATCCGGCTCGGACCAGGTGGAGCACCTGGGCCGTCACGACCAGCAGCAGCAGCCTTCCCATGACCTCGCATCAAAGAACATGCTTGATTCTCATTCGGCAGAAGACCTTCCTTCCAAGGAGACACGAAGAAAGAATATATCTATGCTGAAATGGAAATAAATTTCCTTCCCTCCGATGGTTCAAAACCATCATTCTCTGAAATTCAGAGAACCAAGAGGAGTATGAATGAGAGTCGTCAGAAGGTCTAATTTCTGTTTCAGCATACGTTAGGTTGCTGAGGAGACACGAAGGGCAAATTCTCTCAGGCATGCTCAATGCAAAACGCACTTCTGCCATGCTGAAACCATGCGCATGAAAGCATATACGAGGGGGTCCCAGAATTGGCTGGAGATATCGTATACAGGTCGCTCTGACCGAGGCTCCTGCTACCTAATGCGTGAGGCCTGCAAAGCTATGCTTTTCAAAGTCATAATTTGCCAGGCAAAAAATTATTTTGTTCAGTCAATTCTGGGGCACCCAGTACGTATACAACTATCCATGACTGGCCAAATGCACTCACTTTGGCTGATTACAGCTTCTCGGCTGAGGGCTTGCAACCGTTCCATCGAGTTCCTTTTCCTACATTGGACGTAGACTGGGATTGCGAGTGAAAGAGTTCAATGAACGCAACGAATTTCTAGGAGAAGGAAGGAATGCCTTTATAACGAAGCACGTCAGAACGGAAGAGCGGCTCGGGCCAGACCCGCGATGTAAGTCCCGAGTCCATAGACTGCATACCAGACCGAGGTGGCCGCGGCGGCCCCCATGCCCCGTCGGCACACGTAGCCCATCTTCAGAATGGAGGCGTTATCAGTCATTGGATTCGCCGAAACGGTCGTCCACCGAGAGGGGAAGATGCAGGCGCAGTTCCGGACGTCGTTCTTGGCGTTGGCCACCGGTTGACCCGGGTACCAGTCGGTGAAGAAGCGAGGGGACTTGTCGACCCAGGCGAAGTCGCCGTCGGTGCTATACTCCTGCTGTCGAGTGTAGCCGATCCAGAATTCTCTCGATTGGCTCAAAGATGCCTTAGAACGTGCTGCAACAGTCGAATGAGACACTCCGTGAATTACATGCGAAAGCCGATGAACGTACTCGAACGACCTCGACCACAAACAGTGGCAAGCAACACGGCAGATGCATACTGAAATGAATCCGTATAAGTTTAAAACCCGCTTGATCAGCCGCGCAACTCCCTCACCTCTCAATTCCGCGTTGATATAATGGGACTCATTGGCGTTGGTGAGAGAGAGCAAGTACGCAGCTTCCGTGGTACAGCGCGCCTGTGCATCCGCGAACGTCACCGCGCCTTCAGTGTGGAAGTAGTAGCAACGCGTTTCCACCCCCGTGACAGCAGGATTTGGCAGCGGGGAGTAATTGTTGAGGCAAGCTCCAGAGACGGCGGGGGCTATTGCTTCGCAGATGAAGGCCTTCTTCTTGTTGCAGTCGTCATTCTTCCATTGCGATGGGTACATATAGACGAAGTCTAGAAAGTCACACAGAAAGAGATCTAATCAGAACGGCTGGGGAAACAACATGGGGCATGCAATGGGGGGCACTGAAAAGACACAGTCCTGGGGGCACTGAAACCACTCGGGCACCGACGTTGGTTGGATGGGATGCATGCGAGATCGAGATCACAATCACACGAGGAAAGAAAATGAGAGAGAATGCTAGTCGATATGCGAGGAGACATTGAAAGGTTCGCGGACTGAGGTTCTCTATTGCAGAGATTACCTACTACCTTCTATTGCAGAGTTTCGGGAGCTTTTTTCGGCTCACGCTGCGTGAGCCGAAAAAGGCAGTGTTCTTGCTATTTTGTGAAAAGGTGCAGTTGGCCATCTTGTGACTCTACGTTTGAGGCCAGTGGCATTACTAGCTTCAAAGGAATTCCCAGCCGCAGTTTCAACGTGAAGTCAGACATTGTCTTGACGAAGAAACCATTACTGATGAAGCAGATTGAGTCTTCTAATTTTTCTCAGCGCGCTTCTCAGGCGTGTCCGTCAAGTCGTGGCGTATTATTCGAAATTGACTGTTGCGTTATTGAAACTGATTGCTTCAGTACAATTCCTTGAGAAAAAAAAAGCATACCCCTTTATGCTTAATTACGTTACGCGAATTTTTTTCTTGGAAGCGGGCAATCCCTGTGGTTCTAAACACTAGACTGCTGATTGCTATCGAAATCGTAATGCCGTATCACTGATTCAACATAGATTATGGTTCTTGAAAGAAATGCTTCATTACCATCAAGCTACTGAAGAATCATGCGACAGTTTGTAATTCGATCTTAAATTGCGAGGAACCTACCGCGCACAAACACGGCTCATTTTCAACGGTGACACGGTGTAACGGTGACGTTACGATGTGTTTGGCACGTTCGAAGGATATGATAAGCTGATAATACATTCGGTGAAAGTCGGCATATTTTCACGAATGCATTCGTCGGCACTAACCATGGGGAAATCCGGGACAGCAGGCGAGGTTTACCCGAATGTTTATCGACTTCTGCGCGGCCGTCTGTTAAACGCTGATGCCACATGAGAACGGCATTAGAGCATCGTTACCATAGGCTCATTAAAAGAAGAAAGTCTCAGTCGCTGATATTTCTAAGCGTAACACAATTAGCAATAACATATCCATAGAGTAATGAAAATATTGTCCTCGCCCCCATGACAAACGATGGCTGTTAAATTACGTTTTCTGTTCTGAAAAAAGTACACGAAAAAGTATGCTGCTGTTGTGAGCCAACTGAACTAGATACAACATGAGTTCTTTTAGGCTTAGTTGCGCTGTGGCGTTTCCATGCGGCTAGCCAGCGGACTTTTCAACATCCCCTCGTACTGAATGAAGGCCTTGGGAAGCGTTCCATAAAAGCATCTGAACGACGAAGTGATGGTGCAGTAAAGGGCTTAGCAGAAGCCGAGGGAAAAGGGGGGGGGGGAAGAGTCCCCACGAGATGCCAAATACGAAATGACAACATACTTAAGTTCCTTCTAAAACTATAGGAGCACACAATAATATGATCGGAGAGGGCGTTGAACTGATGATACAGAACGAATACACGCCCACTTTCAAAAACTTAACATCACCACAATATTTCAATGACATAGGAACAACACAATTGAAAGAGAGCAGGACAGTATATGGATATCTAACCTTCATTAGACTGATCGTAATTGTTGGCATCGTCATAGTTACTGTAGCCCTCGCCCACACGGGGTGGCACCAATGACAGCGGGTAGGAGACCGCCAACCACGTAGCCAAGAAATTAGTGTTGTCCCCAAAGAACTTGTTCTCCTCCGACGACTTGGGCAAGGCGAAGAGACCCCCTTGCTCCTGGGCGCAGAACGGATACGCCTGGGCGAACGTCGCCGTGTCCTTCGAGAAATAGTAGCAGGCGCCGCCGTACTTGATCCAATTGGACGGACAGCCGGACCGGACGAGCGGGCAGAGGAGGCCCAGTAGAAGCAAGCGTGGCCACTTTCCGACTTCCATGCTGTGGAGGACGGCTTGGGTTAACGAGTTAGCGTCTCGCGTGAGGCCTGAGAACTTCACATCCCCACTTTCTTTTCTAAGGATTCGCGGCTTGCCAGCGCTCTTTGGCGCCTGGAATCCCATATTTAATCATTTATTTTCTCCTCATCCAATTCATAATCGAGCTGGATGCGATGAATTCATCGGAAGGACAAGGACGAGTTATGCTTTCGAGACGAATTCAGGATGAATATTACTTTTTAGACAAAGTTATTTCGCAGTTAACCCTGATTGAAATGCAACAAAACGAAGAAAGCCCAAATCGTCAAGTCATTCCTTCTCGCTGGATTGAAAGTGCGTCGTAGTTTTAATCTCTCAATCAATGAATCCCAACCCATTTAAAAGGAAACTATTTAAATGAAATCTTAATTTGAAGTACCTCAGAATAATTTTACATAGAATTCCAATCCTTCGTCTCCCAAACCAAGTCTGATAATAAAAGCCAGAAGAGGAATTTCGAAGTCACTGAATCGAAGTCACCCTTGTTAAGTCTAACCTAAGCTAAACCTTACCACAACAGCAGACTCTCCAGCGCTAAACCGGAATGGTATGCGAAACTTTTCGGCAAGTACCTATTTCTTCCAAGCGAAGAAATATGCATTACTTGTCGTGTCTCAACCCTTCCTTCTTGTTTTTAGCATAAAAAAGTTACGCTGTGCCGGCATCATTCGAACCTCTCACGTCTCGAAGTTCGAGGAGCCAGTTGCACTAATCCGTCCCACATAAGCAATACCCCGATATTAAGTTGAAAAAAAAAATCGAACAGGTAAAAGCATTCACGAACATTCGGTAACCACGTTTGATCCGCGACAAAACCCGTCGACTAACTCGGCGAAACGCTCAGCGACCAAGTCCTAGCACGTACCTTCAACAGAGAACGGCAAAGGAAAACTCACACGAAGGAGAGGCAGACTCTTCTCGTTCCCACCCTCAGCAGTCGACTGACACGGAACTCCTCGACTTCTGCAGAGAAAGATTTTTTTTCCGCCCATCTTCCTCGTAAGGATGTGATTCTCGGGAGCTGAACAGGATGTAAACCACGATTCGAGTCACGAAGTCTCTCCCCCCCACCTGTCTTCTCTACCTGCCACTTTCCGCGTGAGGAAGCCGTCTCTTCGCATCGATGTTCAACCTGATCCAGGATCCTTTTCTTTTCTTCTCTTATATAATATATATATATATATATAGGTATTTAACATTTAGCGTTACTCGTGAGAAATTCACGGTTTGCTAACGGTGACTTGTCAAATTCCATTGCATGGGATGGGGAAAATGAATGGATAATTTTGAACAGCCTTGATTCTGACGATGGGGAGGGGATGCCTTCCGTAGTCCCCCAATTCGCATACGCGCCATTTTCCAACAACTTCTCCTTAAAAATGTACGAAAAAAACCCCCTACGAATTTGGAACTCCTTAGTGCATAGGATAATATCGAGTATCCATCTCGACATCGGGGTCTCCGAGTACTGCAAATTAGAGCCCTCCTTGGGATGCGGGCCGGGTCGGGCCGCGGGTCGGGTCGGGTTCGAAAAAGACTCCCCGCTCCGGCCTCCGATGGGCTGAGGAACGAATATGACCGAGGGATGTGCAGGCAAAACGTTGGCTATTACAGCCATTGCCTGAACCGAGCGGTGGAGATGCAGCATTTCGTCTTCCCTCGATCGCCCTGTCTCCTGCAAAAGCCATTTATCGTATATGGAATGAAGGGGAAATCGTGACCTTCCAACCATGAGGAACTCGTTGCGACCGGTGAGCGGGATTCCGAGCAACGAACAAAGAAAGAGAGTGCAATAACCGCTCAAGAAGCTCGGGAAAAGCTCTCAGTTCCATTTTTTGAAAATTTTTTTCTTATACCAGGTGAAACACGAAACAGATCATATGGTCACTTCCTGCTCCGACCGGAACCCACCCATAGAATTTACCCCGTTATGCCAAAGTTAACGTACTGATAAAACCAGTCCAGGTGACCCAGAGTGACCCAGAGTGACCCAAAGTGACGAAACTGTTCTGCCAGCAGAATGCGTCTCCACCGAATTTAAGTTTCCCCGTGAAGAGCATTCCCGTTTTTCGAGTCCACTTTCCCGCTTGCTTCCCATCCCGGAAGCAAAATGCCGTTAAGTACGGAAAAGGCAGGATTAAGTAATCCGGATTAATAAATTTCCATCGTAAGAATTACTTCATACTTGGACTGTTTTGAACTCATCTGATCCAGAGTGACCCATAATGACCTTAATTGAGCCTCGTTTTTCCCCAAAAACCCGCGTCGAGTTGGTGAGTCAATTAGGGTGAATGGGAAAATTTTGTTAGACAATGATCAATTTTGGTTAAATTTCCTTAATCGAATATTCAAGATATTTACAAATACAGACTGAGCAGCAAATAAGTAATAAATAAGCAAATAAATAATAAATAATAAACGCGATCGAAGGCCTTGGCAACGTCGGCGACCTCACTTCAGCGCAGGATTCACGAGGGGCATGCCCTCGATTTGCCCACGTGCGAACGGACGGTGCAGTCATTCCTCCGGAAAGGGGTAGGAATGAGGCCGACACAGCTCGACTGTTCCTGCTAAAAAAAAAAATGAAGAAAGAAGAGACAACGCTAAATCTTGACACGTGATGCATATTAGTCGATTTACTCTTGCCGAAAAGTGACAGATGCAATAACTCCGGTTTGACGCCTGAGGAGTTCGCTCTCGTCGTATGGTTAGACGTGGCAAGTTTAAACGGGAAATCCTGCAAAGAAGTCAGTTTTTTTTCCACAGAAGCAATTTCTCCCTTTTATTGTCGCTCGCATTCACGGACGTGACTTCTATTATAATGCGGCTTTCAAAATTCTACATCCCGTTGTTTATTATTGGACGAGGTATGGAAAGTAGAAGGACGGGTTCCATGAGTCGGACGTAATTAAAATTGGAATTATATGGAATCCCTTTAAATGGGTTAGGATTCAGTTGCTGAGGAGACTAAAACTACAGCGCACTCTCGGTCCATCGCAGACTCCACGAAATCGGTTCTCTTCGCACTTGAGTCTTTCGATCAGGGTTATCTGTGCGGCAATATGCCAAAATACAAAAAAAATATATTTATTGATTCCTCTCGAAAGCTCAGCAAGTCGTCGAACGCCGGAATGAAATGAATTCATCGAACCCAGTTCGAATATGAATTGGATTAAGATGGAATAAATAAAGTAAAACGGGATCCCAGGCGCCAAAGAACGCTGGCAAGCCATGAATCAGCAGAAGAGAAAGAAAGAGGGGACGTGACGCTCTCAGACCTCACGCGCGACGCTAATTCGTTAACCCAGGCCGTCCTTCACAGAATGGATGTCGGGAAGTGGCCACGCTTGCTCCTACTGGGCCACCTAGCCCGCTCGTCCGGTCGGCTGTCCGTCCGAGTGAAGCGAAAGGCTGGACATTCGTGAGGCATCCTGTTCCATTCGCGTTCCCTTCAAATTTTTAGATTCTGCTGGACGCTTCTGCTTCATGGCTTTCCGAGCCTTCTCTCCTACTTTTTAGCTTTTAGCAAGGCATTTCGAATCTTGAAAGGACGTTTTGCACTTGGGTCTCAATCAGTGGCGTAGCCAGCATTTCACCAATGGGGGGGGGGGGGGGGGGGGGGGGGGGGGGGGGGTGGTGAAGGAGATGTCAGATGAATTCGGCCTAGAGTCTGTATGCTTGAATCAAACTTGGGATGGCTGAATCTCCCCCCGCCCACCGCCCAAAGCCCCACCCCCTCGCTACGCCACTGGTCTCAATATCTTGTTGCTATCTGAAGAACAATATTTCGTGGCATCGTATACTTCATAGGCCGGAAATGTTAAAGATGGAAATACGATTTTGGCTGAAGTTTTTGGCGAAAAGTCATATCCATAGGGAAGAGAGCACTTTTCATCACCGAGAATGACTAGCAAAAACAATAATTCATCCGACATCATTCTCCTCTTCCGTAAACTTTGTTTATTCGACCTCATGATGTCTTTCGATGAGTCGAAGGCTTACCCCAATCCGGTATAAAATTCGTGATGTAAGAATTTCTAAAATGAAATTAGAGCCTACTGTTGCCTCTTCTTCGGTTCGATGGACTCTCTGTTAATTTCCAGTGTGATCCTGTAATTTTAGAAATTAGACGTTTCATCATGCGTATTTTAAGTCTATTGACATCCCCCCCCTTCCTCCCTTTTCCCTCGGCTCCTTTATAATGTAACTCGTGTCAAGGTCAGTGCATACCCGGCTTGAAATGACTCGAATCAAAGCATTTCCTGCCTCCTTTTTTTTCTCCCTCTCAGTCAGTTTCGTTGTTCCTGGAAGCAGCCTGCGAAGCCGCCTTCTGCGCTCGCCGCTATGCTCTTTCATTCATTGACTGCGACGCCGATGCATCTCGCGTTTTCTCGCGCGTTCTGGGGATCCCGCCGCGAAAAGGTTTAACCATTTTCCTTAACGCCTTTTTCATGGCGTCGTGAGAGCAACAATACAATTGAAAATTATATGGAGCACTGACTAAACTCTATGGGCTTACGTGAAGCACTGTAAACCGGCGACGGGATAGCACGACGAAACAATCACATGTGATAATTGGGAAGTGTTCAAATGAGACAAACCGAATGAATTCGGATTTCCTAAGAATCAGATGGAGAAGGAGGCAGGGGAGGGGGGTAGAGGAGGGGAGGGGGGTAGAGGAGGGGAGGAGAGGGAGGGGAGGGAGGGGGAGTTCCGTCTCATGGCTTCCTAAAGAGACCGAATTTCTCACAGCCACATTTTCAACCAATAATAGAGGATAATAGATAATAGAATAGAGGATGGGTTCCGTCATTAGGGAAACCCCAGTCGCCTGTGTGCAAATTTTCAGCGAGTTCCAGCGAGTAGGCTTAAATTGAGAGCCGTCGTTTTAATTGCGAATGCCAGGGTAGAACAACGAAGGTATTTAAGCTCGGCCGGGATTGGGATCGATGGAGTCGGTCTGACCATCGGGCGTGATTGGCAATCGGGCAATTGGCAATTTGAGTCGGGTGCGGGGCATGATGTGGATGCACGCAGGCTGGGAAGGTGTTCGCAGTGAATTGCTGTTCTTGTCGCCGGAATTTGATTATTTTTGGACTTTTTGATCCGAGAAGAATCGCCTCAAGGTTTCGATCGGTGTCTCTCTCTTCGTGAGAATCCGTCCATGCGACTTGGAGGAGTTTCCAGGAATGACACTTTCACGGGCGGATTAGCCTCATGCGTGTTCTATGAGACTTGTTCATAATCACGAGATTTCGAATATTCGAATGTGAATATATGGACGAGATATTGAATTCGAATTCACAGAACCCATCCGCAAGAAAGAGGTTATTTCCCCCGGAGCGCAGGATATTTTCATAAGTTTCATATTTCGCGAGGAAAAAAGCCACTTGCACGGTTTTCTGCGCCAAGGGCGCGCTTCGTCACCCTGCCGTCTCACACGGCATGCCCTTCATTCTGAGCCGGTTCCACTCGTCGAAATGAAGGGGCCTCCCCTATGGCGCGAGTCGCTGCTCTCTTCCAGGCGCGACAGCCATCTTACTGAAGTCGTACGAACAAGGAGGTCATGGCAGAAACATGGAGAGGGGGTGGGGCAAAAAGAGGGAACTAGCCCCGGGCTATATGCCTGGGGACCTCCACGTCGGGATCCAACCGATCACGCTATTCATTCCCCACGTGTGGGACCGTCCCAAGATGGTGGAAGCACTTGTAACTCTCGAGGCAGCCAAGGCATGGTCCTTAGAATAGAATTGGTATTCTAAGGACCATGGCGAAGGCCTCACCCAAAAAGCTCAGAGGCCGAATCGGGTTGTGGGTCGACCAGATCGGTCCGACCCGATTCGCGGCTCGGATCGGCAAAGTCCGGTCGACGATCGAGTTCCGTGTCGGAATAGTCGACCCGTGCAGGCCTCCGACGCCCAAGCGGACAGGAGGACGCAAATCAACAACGTTCGAAA